ACAAAGGCCTGGGACTCAAGAGATGAGTTACGGGACATGCGAGTCCGCAGGCGAGAAGGCGATAGGACTAGACCAAGATAAGAGAAAAAATCGGGGGGAGGGAGGGTTAAACAAACGAACCCCAAAGCAAAAAGGGTGAAGACCCCCCCAACCCCCACCCCACAAAGGGGCTTCGACGGGCGCATGAATCCAATCCTTCCGCCCTTGTAGCCAAACTGGACAAATTTGCTTACACACGTGTTTATTTATATAGGGAAAGCCACTCCCGAGGGAGAAACGCACAAACACTCCTGAAATAGATCTCTCGCTCCTAATTCGTCAGGATTAAGGCCAGTGTTACACGAGCGAGCACTGGGAATAGTAATCTATTCCCAGTGGACGCTCGCATAACAAAGGCCTGGGACTCAAGAGATGAGTTACGGGACATGCGAGTCCTTGGCTCGCAGGCGAAGGACAGCCTTAGATGAAGCGAAAGGTCTCCACTGGCCTCCCCAACCCCATCACCCGTAACTAACTCTCCCATATCCCGAAACTAAAACGACAACACAAGCACTTATCAAAATTGTCGGCTTAAAGCCAGCCACAGCAACAAAAGCTTTATTTGCAGGACCATACATGATAATACGGTATTGCAAAAGCTACTAGTCCAAATTTAATTACTAATTCAACCAATTAATGTTAAACGTTTCAAAACATTACAGATCTCATTAATTCATTGATATGAATCCATTTGCTTCTTAATCCAAATCCTTGCAAGATAAATAAAACTAACTGACAGTTAATCAAATAATCAGAAGAATTCATAAGATGAGCTACTAAATTATCATGTGAAAGAGATTTGAAGTTAGGTAATCTAAATTCTATTTTGGAGAAAAATACGTCTCTGATCTTAGAATAGGCCTTACAATCTAGTATGAAATGAATTTCATCTTCACGTTTGTTACTGTTGCAAAAGGAGCATATCCTTTCATTGGTACGGATTTTTTCGTATCTACCCGTTTCGGTTCTAAGTTGATGACTACAAGAATGATGCCATCACGAAAAGCGTTGGCAAGATATTCCGTAGAAGGACCACCTCGAGTAATTTGAACAGAACTACCAGCCATTAGGCATCTGAAGAGGTGTTGGCCGGGTATTTAGAGGTTTGCAAATTCAGAGCGCGTTCGACTGTCGCAGCAGATTCCTAACCAAAGCGCTTCGTTTGACCTTCTTTAGACACCCCGTTAAGTCTGAGAAGGGAGGAGTGTCCGGCCCAAAAACCCTCACAGAGTCACCACCATTCTTAACTGCGAAGGGGTTTTAAAACTATTTAACGTGCCGCGCCTGCACGGTAGAAGCGAGGATTCGACTATCGAAAATAAAGTTATTCAGGAAGTTAAACTGGAAAAGCCAGAGGAAATGTCCAGGCGCACTGATTTACATAGGTCGACGAAAGACTGCAAATTACGCACTCCAAGATCTCTCTTAACATCTAGCCGCGCATTTGTGATACAGGAGGCAAGAGCCAGCAGAATGTTCTCACACTTTAACTGCGTTTACATAATGAGAAGATCGGAAGCCCTGTCACCAGAAGAAAACCAAGCGAGAAAAAATCCAAGCTCTCGAGTGCTAACGATCAGTAACGTTCGGGATAGACAGCTGCTACCTAACAGAATATACCTTAAGTGGTAGACAACTTATTTCTATCGTTTCGTCCCCATAATAT